ATAAGTTTTTATTAAAAAAATTAAACTTTTTAATAAAAACACAGGCAAATTTGCTTGTGTTACAATTTAAGGGATAAGAATAATTTTTCTCTAAGTTTCTTTTCAAAAGTATTTTTGATAACTTCTAACAATTTTTATAAATAGAACACTTTGCTTAAAAACTTCTTTTTAAATAACTTTGAAAATAACTTTGTTTACTCATCTTTTTTAAAAATTTATTAAAACCCAAATCTAAATATTAATTTAAATTATTCAAAATTATATGTAGTATAACAATATATATATCTATAGAATAGCTAAAATACATATAGATTAATTTAAGCCTCCTATTTAAAACTTTAAAAAATCTGTATTTTTAATTTTTATTATATACACATCTATAGTATTGTGGTTAGAGTAATGTATATTCATTATGGGCTACATGTTTAACTTAACTAGTAGTATATGACAGGAATTAATTAGTAATATTAGACAAAAAATATTGTTATTAGACTTTATAATTATTTGAAACTGAGATAATATTGAATATAGAAATTATAAATGGTGCAAATAGTGTGAAAAAACTAATTATAATATGAAAGAATGTTGGGTTATACCAAAATTGCTCAAGATTACAAGTCAAGAATAGAAAAAAAGATTAAATATTCAAATTGCTCAAAAAAATATAGTTCTGTATATTTTATGCAGAAAAATTTTTCCGAATTGGAATTTTTATCTATTGATTTTCGGATAATTAAAGTCACACAGTACGCCAAACTAATTAAATTTTTTTTTTATAAAAGGACTTTGTTTTATTTAACAGATACAATAAAATAATAAAATAATATATATACCATTATTTTATAATTTGTGATGAATATGGTCTCGAATACATTAAATTTAGATTCTACATTTCCAAATAATAAACATCACATGTTTTAAACGATGAAATGTTTTTTACCATCCCTAAACATAACTATATACCTAGTTATGCACATATAAGTTTATGACTAATTATGACTCATCTTCGGTAACTTTGATCTTATTTCTGTATTTACGTATAAACATCTTATTACATGTTATATCGATGATTGAATAAAGCACTGTATCTGTATATATCAGATATTTAAAACATTCCTAAGCTTTTACATGAAATTCTTAGTTAGTATTAGTTTTTTTTTTAAATGCGTATCTAATGAAATTTTAAATATCTGATTTGAAATCATAACATTATAATAATATCTTAACACGTTAAAAGAACAGTACGTTACCAAAGTTGGTACACTTACAAGATTTAATAAATCAAAAAATTATCATAAATACTTTATGCAAATAGTAACAAGTTTTCCTAGTTAATCATTTATGTAATCACCGTTTTAAAATCTAATTATAACAATAAGTTTTCAAGCAGAATTTTGATGCAGTATATTTTAAAATTGTTAAAACTTAATATTTCTCTATTTATTTAGAAACGGAGATTATAATTAGCCAATTTTATACAGTACATATATTTTTTATTACGTATTATAAAATGTATCTAAATAATCTCCAATTTAAAGATTAAATATTATTAAGATTAAAATTAAGGCTTCGGCGAGTGTTAGAACTATCCATATTTTTAATAGAGATTTCTACTAATTAAACTAATTAAACTGATACTACAGTATCTGCAATTAAATTACATACTTTACGCCGGTAAACTTCATAAATGATATGACAATAAATTAACCCTCTGCTGAAATTTTCGATCATTTTTAAAATTTCCTTATCTAGTGTATTTAAATGCCTTAACTTACGCACGAACGTACTTATGTACGTACATACCAGGTGTGTATAGTTAATAGTAAAATTTAATTTGCCGTGTTGGAATGGCATAATAAATACGGAAAATGGAAATGCCACATTTCAGTGATTTGCTATCCTATATACATATGTACTTGACATTTTACAACAGGAAAATCCCGGTAGGGAAAGTTCTTTACATGACAAGTATATGATTAAAAATCCATTGGTATTACTATATTGGTTAAACAGGTGTTTAACGTATTTACATACATACGTACGTATGTACGTAAGTACATTACGCATGCGTGCGTACGTACGTATAGCTAATACGTGGACACATACGTAAGTTATTTAGAATTTGATTATCGGATAATCAATCTTTTTTACCAGTTTAATATGACCAGTTGAATATAATAGGGTAAACAATTCCCACACATCATTTTTATGAATGTACAAATTTTATTAAGATTTTCTGACATACATACGAACAATAACACAAGGCTTATGATTTACATTTAAGAACTTACGTTTTTGTAAATTTATGCGCATAATATATTATGTACGAATAATATTTACCAGTTTAATAAGATCAAAAATAAAAAAAGACTAAAAAAAATATTGATTCCAAAAAAGTAATTTTTTGCTTTTTTTACAAAACATAAATACATAGTTGTTAATTTTTTTCTTCAAATCTAAAAAGATCAATACTACAATTTTTTTTTTTTTTTAAATTTTTTTTTTTTTTTACAAAGCACCATACAAATTTCCAGATTTGTATGAATAATGAAATAATAAAAATTTTTTTAAAATAATGGTGCGTGTCCAATTTTGCCGGATGGTCCCTTATATGTAGACGCTTTTAATAGTTTAGTGGAATACCCGCATTTAACGTCTCGGCACTATTATATTCTTGTTTTTGTTCTTGGTGCCTCATATATGGACAAAAATCAAAGCCTTCAAGCATTTCTCTAGACACAGAAAAAGTGGGAATAGCTGGGGTTTGCGGTAGAGAGGGCGCTGGTGTTAATCTAGCGAGAACTTGATTAACAAGATCTTCATAATCATCTCGTTCTTTGGGACTAATAGATAATAATATTAGTTCCCTTACCCTAACGATGGCAGGGTTGCAAAAATTCCTATGCCTTGATGCTTGTAATCTAATGATACATTCAATAACGGTTTCTAAAGTAGGTCTGATATTATTGTTTCTAAAGTATATTGATATATCTATTGAAGTATAAGTAGCAGGAGAAACGGTGTCTCTTATGTTGTCGTTTAAAAATTTAACATCAGAAGAATCAAACGCCATTTTTTTTTTCTTGAATTTCATGTTTGTGGTCATTTGATGTGTATATATATATCTTTTTGATAAAAGCTTTACATATATGCTATAGCCCCGATTTGTAATAGAAGGCGCCATTATTTATCAATAAATACAATAAATTTATATAAATTAACGAAGATAAATACTTATTTTGATAGTTTCCTACAGCCAAGGTTTATTATTTGGTAAATAATGATTTTGTATCATTGATGTTATAACTCGGTTTATTTTATAAAAGTAAAGTCGATCATACATACCCGATACAGTTACAGTATCTTAAAACTTATGTAAAACCAGTATAGATCCTGAACAAATTCAGTTAGGTTGATGCATCTTTGTAAATATATATTACTATATTAGTAGATGATCTCGATAAATCATCTCGTATGAATTAAATTAAAAGAAATATGGATATGCATTTTTTAAATTTATTTATTAATAGATTAAAATACTGGTTATCAGTTCTTTGAATTATTTGGGACCGGTTTCCTTTTCGAAACGACACAGATTAGCGTTAGTGTTAGGCAATACTTCATAGATATCCATTTTTAGTCTGTTACATATATGTTATTGTTTATCTTTATGCCCGTGATCTTTAAACTGGCTGATGATTTAATTTAACTATATTTCATAAATCCGGATATTAGACAAGCTAGTAAGACATAAAATGTATAGTTACTGGTTAAGCAGTAAAATATTAAATAAACAAAACGATAAGCATCTTAAAGGTTTAGAAATAATCACAGATTAGACAATATTTCATAAATATCCCAAATTACGTATTTGTTAAAAAATGACATTTTTTTCGTTCTAGTTCAAAACAAGATTTAATATTTACAGAACAGATTTATATAGAATGTGGTGAAATACAATAACTATATTTATAACGATAATAAACCTTGAAATTTATACAATAATAATATAAATTAGCTAGTAACGGTTTCAAAAAAATTTTGTCCAGTACTTTTGTCATGAAAATTTTATGCAAGGTCTTACAAAAAATAAAATAAGTACGATTATCTAAATATAAATTAGGATCATCTATTTATAGTCTTTGTGATTATTTCAATCAAAAAATGAGTAAAATTAGGAAACAGTAGGTATAAAAAAGAAATAGATTTTCCACGTGGAGTTGTTACATGCAAGTTTATTACAGAACGATGTACAAATACTTAACAGTAAATCCAAAATTCCGTTTGATATTCATGAAGTGCATCAAAAATCACTGCATTTAATGTGTTATAAAGGTTTTTCACTAAATTAGACAAGTAGAAGTATCATCACTATTTTTTTTTAGGCTTTAACTATATATAAATTAATTAGTCAAAGAGTCTACTGTGATGTTACTTATCATTATAGATCGCCGGCTTTAAAGTTGGTAATCGAATGTTGAGTGTAATGTGTGTGACCGTGGGCAAAGCTATCATTGGTAAACATAAGAGTTTCCAAAATAAGTTTCTGGTACGACTTAAATGACAATCATTTAAATGATTTTCGATTTTTCCTGGGGAAAGATGCGAGATAATATTATATGATTTATCCACCAGAGCTCATAACGTCTGATTGGCTGATTTTTGTGATTTCCCGTAATAATTAACCAATCAAAATTGTTATAATTGTCAATCAATAACCAATAACTGATAATGTGATGAAACTTTATGTCAGCAAAGCTTATATTTACAAGAAAAATCATAATTTTAATTTTAATGCCTTTGCTAGAGACGTTATTATTCTCAAAATATATAATTAATTAGCAATATCACTTATACTTTATATTTTTAATTATTATGTATTCGTATTCGTATCTATCAAAAAAAGAAATTTTATTCTTTATTCACATAGATTCTTAAATAATAATTCTATTTATCAATTATTACACCATTAAATTACTGTCTTTATATTATTTACACTACACGTACTATCTATTTAATTAACACTACACGCACAAACATATAAAAAATTTAATCTCTATATAGATACATTTGATTATAAGTATAAAATGTTTAATACTAAAAGCATGACTATAAAGAGGTTTAACTATAATATAAAATTTATCAATACTTGTATTTGGTATAATATACAAATTAAAGATATAAAAATATATTTTTTTTAGTTTTATATACATATTATATTGGTTAATATATTATACAGTTTTTGTATAATATATTCTAATTTTTTAAAATTAATATTTATTATAAATATAGATTATTAGAAATACAATAAATTATTAATTTATACAACAAATATAAATACAGTAGGAATCATAAGTATCCCACCCCCTCTAACATTTTAAGTAGAAAAGCTACAACTTTAAAATTTTTACAATAAATAGTATTAAATAAATATAGATCAGTAACAAATTTTTATAGTTTTTTAATCACTACAACAAAAGTTAGATGAGAGCTAAATTTTTGATCAATTTAGATACTAAAAACTAATCAAATTTAATTAAAAATTTATAAAAAATTAGAATTAAATTCAAAAGCTTTAAAAATTAACAGAATTAATTTTCAAGCATTTCTATAGTATTGACAAAAAATTTGAATAATTTAATTAGTTGTTGAGAAATTAATTTTTTTTTTTAAAGTAATATTACCATTTTTGAAAATTAGGGGTGTTGTGTAACTTTGGATTTACTTAGTAAAAAACATAGTAATTTTAGCAGTATTACTAAGAATTTTAAAGTAACTTTAAAAATTAATTTCTCATCAACTATCTCATTAAATTAACTCAAAATTTTTTTAGTATTATAAAACTGTTTGAAGTTTAATATAATACATGGAGGACTAAGTTAATGACGGCCAGACCCAATATACAGGACAGGCTATGGTACCTTGCACAACTGTGAGAACTGAGTATATGGTGAGCGCTCCTATAGAAGGAACACTAAATATCTCAAATTCCAATTCTTCCAATCCTTCTGAGATCCAAACTTATAATAATTTCTTTACACTACCTACTTCACAACCTTCACTTCCATCCATGTTTCTAAATATTCCACATCCAATATCAACAACTTATCCTAACTTACTCACTGAAGATTCTGATAATGACAATATTTCTCCAACTACATGTACAATTTTAGGCAAACCTCCTACTTCTCTCCCTTCT